TGATGGGCTCTGCGGTGAGCTCTTCAAGTTCCGAGACTGGCGCTGATTTCAGCTGTTCCTTGGACACGCGGATGAGAATAAATGCAGGGATATCATCGGTGAGGGTGTCAAGCAGTCGGTGGTCCTTGATCAGGGCCATCGCTGTGTCCGCGTCTTGGAGGCGAATATAGCAGTGCAGTGCTTTGCCATAGTGGCCTCCTGCGAGGTACAGTTTGGCAAGACACCTTGTCAAGACTCGCCAGTCCTCTGTCTCCGGGATTACCGAGTCATATCTCAGTTGCTCCTCAATTTCTGTGGCGACATTATTGACGTCAAAGAGGTCGAAAGGCCAGGAGTCTAGGAGATCGCTGAACCTTGACCTATTGTGCTCGACATAGTGCCCCAGGATGGTCTCGTAGATGTTTGCAGGGAGACTGGGACGCATGTTGACAGGCATGACGGACGAGATTTCGTCCAGCTTATCGTGCTTTATGAAGGTCCAAGCCCAATGCTCCCACCTGGCTGCGGTATCGATTGCTTTCACGCAAACTTCAGCGGCCTCTTCCCACTTGTTCTCATCAACAAGTTGTTCGATCCACAGTTCGCCAATGCGGCGCTTTTCCTGCTCCACAGCGGGAGTGGAAGCAATGTTCCGGCCAGTAGTTGTGATTGAAGACCTATCGTCAATGAAGGATTCACCAACGCTACTGCTCTGAGATCTTGATGGCGTCTCTGGGATTTGGTCGTTCACGTCAGTCGTCGACCCCGCCGCTTCAGGATGTTCCTGGAGAAGCATCCAAGCTTCTTCATATCTCTCATGCGCATCTAGCCAGGCCAGGCGATCAGACAGATCTCTTTTCAGGGCGGCAACACAGTCGTACGGGCTGTGGACGAATATCCTAGGACCTACGCTCCCTGCAATGTCCTGGATTTCTTTGGAAAGGGGTTCCTCATAGGAAAACCTTCGGGAAGCGAAAGTGCTCGGCGCCCGGCTGGAGCCCTTGTCACTGCTCGTTGTACTGCGAATACTAGCGGCGGAGCTGAATAACCGCGCCGGGTAGAGAGTTGCATCCCAAAGACCGTTCCCCAAAGCTTCTAGCGCACCGCGTTGCGAAACAGGAGCGCTAGATTTCCAAGGAGGCAGGACGCACATGTGATAGTCGGAGGAAGTGAGGGTCTCGTAGCGACTTGTTGAAAGGGTATCAGCGCTAAGCTCCTCCTTTGTTTCGATATCGATAATCCGCAGTTCAGGCTCTAAGCCCCTTGGCCGCCGGCGCGTTCCCGGACGGCGACCTCCCAGCTTGGTCCGCTCTTCCGAGACGTCTTCTTCCGCCTCAATATACGCAAGGACAGCCAGCAAACTAGGGGTATATAGCGAGATGCCAGATATAACGCAGTCGGTCCGTAAGATTGTAGAAACCTCAACGGATCCGATCTTCAGGTCCCTGTTGTTCTTGCTGGGTCTATCCGGATATACGTCAATGACCCAAACCGTGCCTCCCCAGCCAACTACTAATTTCTCCACCTTCTCCTTGACAATCGTCGACTGGACCGTAGACGACTCTCCTTGACTGTTTGGACCGTTGTCACTATTCAATTGTTTCTCGTCCACCCACTCAGCACGAGCCTTCCAGACACCCGCCATCTCTTCCCAGCCGGGACGGTTGGGCCGGTCAATATGGCTGATCCGCTTCCAGGCCAGTTCAGAATCTGAAGAATCGAGGTACAAGTTGGACCGCATGATTTTGATGCCCTCTTCGTTGACCCAGACGACATACTTCCCAGATAAGGACCACTTGATCGTACTGATGGCGCCCTCCCCACTGTGAAGGATAGTGTCCTTGCCGGTGTTGGCTCCCAGCCCCAAAGATCCGAGCCAACTCGAAGCCGTCGCCGCAGCACCTCCCATGGTTGTAGAATTCGTGCTCACACCCACTCTTCCGCCCACCGTAAGTATCAGGTCGCCCGCTCGCCCTCCGGACAAGAACGCCCTGTCACTTTTGTACTCAGGTGAGAGCGCGACAGCCTGCACGGGTCGGCCAAAATTGCGCAAGAGAACGTCTTTGGAGTCCACTAATGATGAGACACAGATGTTTCCGTCCATAGAAGATGTGGCAATGTATATCGAATTGGAAGGCGTGGCGGGTAGGCTTTGCTGGTGAGCTGGCCGATGCCGGCCGCGGAGGCTAGCTGTGCCGGACGACGGCCGCGCGGAATATTCCTGGTCTTCAGGGACTCTGCTGAAGTACTCTTGCCTGAGACTGGGCAACGGAGGAGGGAAAGGGGAGATTGAGATCGAGGTGATACTGGCGGAGTGCGCATGGTAGACGCGAAGAGAGCGCATTTGAGGGACGGATAGTACATGCTGGATGGCGTCAGTTCTCGAATCATTCGAAGCGGCATCAGCGCTACTTACAATATTTCCGTTATGCGTTCCAATTACCTAGATACTGTCTCAGCATCATGCGCCTTCTAGGAAATGCCTGGATACCATACCATCTTGTCCCCAGCCGCGAGAAAGGAGCTTGTTGCATCTCCGTTGCGATACACCGCCCCAAGGTGCTTCGTCAAGTATGCATACTTGAGTCGGGGCTCCTCGTCCTCTTCATCAGTCTCCTCCTCCGTTCCGGCCTCATCGTGTTCTTTGTCGATATCATCGCCTTCACTCTGGGTCCCATTGTGGCTGTCTTCCTCGTCATAGGCCCGGTCGGACCGCCCGCTGTCCGGGCATGTACTGTCGCCCACATTGTTGGGATCGGAGTCGTGGCGGTCCTGAGGGACACTCTCGTTTGCCTGCGTCGCGCCAGGCGCGTCCATGGCGAGAGCAGGAGCTAGGATCAAAAGTGTGAGATATTGGTGCAGACAATGGGCAGCTTCATGGCACCCATCGGCCGAGCAGGAGCACAGCTAGACGGAGCTGGGGTAGATAACCAACAGTTACTTACTGCCGGCGGTCGGGCGGCTTCATTGAAGGTCGTCACCGCATCCAGCTAGGGCCCTGCTGACTCATCCATGCCCCATCCCCGGCTTTCTTTTCTGCAAGACTCGTCGAATAAAGCTTCAAATGATTTCTCCGGATCTGAACGTGCCTCGTTATGGCATCGGTTTCTCTTGGTAATATCCTACGGCTGAAATTGGCACTTGGCTGAGTTTCTTTCCCCTTGGCTTCCTATACAGCCCGTGTGAGATCATGTTTGCAAGACCACGTCTCTGCACTCTTTCGTCACGGCCTTCGGCTGTCAAGTTTCTCAGACAGCCCCGAAGCCAATATCTTCACGCTACCCCTCCATTGAGCTATCCCCGGCGGAAAGACTTCTTCTCTTCCAATGCATATCTATATCAGAAGCAAATGAAAAACGGCGACACGACCGATGAGACGGTTCTAGAATCCCAGAAACAACGGAGAAGAAGCAATAGGTCGCCGGCCGCATCAACGTCACTCCGGAGAGTTGCAGTGGAGGCACAACGGTCGAAGGATGGAATGTTATCCAAAGCCCAGCTCAGGGAGCAGGGGCTCTATCAGCCCAAGGTGCCAATGCCAAGAGCCGCGACCGTCCTTGAACCATTGCTAATCTATCAATGAGAAGACTGTAACAGCCTATGCCGTAGCTGAACAATTCAACATTCGCAAAGTCAGAGACATCTTACAGGAGCGAGGCTACGAGCCGGACCCCTACGAGACGGGTCTGTATCCACAAGTTGTCCACATTGAGGTTCCTCTAGACTCAATCCGCCGCCAGAGCAATCCGAATACCTTAGATCTGTCACCGAGCGAAGTGGGGGATGTGTTTGTCTTTCCCTCGGGAACCGTGGTTGCATGGGCCCTACCTGAAGGATTTACTTCCTTTTTGGCAACCAGGACATTATTACCTGCAGCTGAGGGGGCACATCTTGATGACCTGGAAACAGAGGATCTTGAGTATGTTGAAGATTCTCAACGAGAGAATAGCAGCATCAAGGGCGACACCATCATCCTGGGGACCAAGCCAGGTAATGACGGGCCTAATTCCCACTTACCCACTCGGCAGTCTGTAGATACGGTCCTTACAAAGGTGGCATTCTCGTCAGGGCTGGCTCGCAGTACAAAATTGGCTGTATTGGAATCCCTCCTAGCCAATTACTTTGAATCTACTCGGCCTATTCCCACGCTCCTATCCAAGGGCTCACGTCTCCCATTCACTCGGGACTTCATACTTCGCAAAACGGGCCAGCTGCTGAGTGTACGTGCGCAGCTGAACTTATATTCGGAGCTCACGGACTCTCTGCCAGATATCTTCTGGGACAGTCGGCATGAACTGGGCTTAGAAGGGTACTATGAACAGGTAGGACGAGCGCTCGATGTGGGGATCCGCATCAAGCTTCTGAACGAGAAGATGGATTATGCACAGGAGATCGCAAGTGTACTGCGGGAAAGGCTGAGCGAAACGCATGGACTCCGACTCGAGTGGATTATCATCTTACTCATTGCTGTCGAGGTAGGATTTGAGGTCCTTCGGCTGTGGAAGGAGCGCGTCCACGAACAAGAGGCGAAAAAGGAACAGGATACTGAGCGCTGATTCTCGACTGTAACCACCATCTCTACTCATGTACATACTCATATCATGGAGTTCTTCGAATATGATACCCAGGCGTTGTTCTGTTCCGATATGCATGCACTACGTATTGAGTCACGATAAGGGAAGCTTCAAGTCAATCCGGGGAGATCGACGATAAGGTGCTTATCGGACCAGTCACATCACATGCCGCTGACTCAGGTACGGGGCCAAGTCATGGGATGGATGCACGTGCTGCTGCTGTTGGGACTCAAACATTCGCCTCTTTCCTCTCTTCCCCCTGTCTTCCACTGCTCTGTCAATTGATGCGTCGTTGAGAGTTGCATCTTCATCTTTACTTTGTATTGTCTGCTGTATTTTCTTGCTGAGCATCAGCAACGGACCTCAGAACCCCCCATGCTTGATACCGGTAGCACTAGTGCGGTCGGGTCCACCGCCATCTCCATGAGGGACCGACTGCTTCAGAGTATGCCAGGGCCTCAACAGGTCTTGAAAGCTATAACTGGATCATTGGGTGTCTCGTCGCTTTCGGTTTCAGATTATAGTTCGTCCGAAGCAACCTTCCGGCAATGTCCTTCCTCCGAAGTGAGCTGCAAGGCTCAGTACCATGGCCAGGATACCTGCTGCTTCAACTACCCCGGCGGACAGATGCTCCAGACGCAATTCTGGGATGCTGATCCAGCTATTGGGCCAGCAGATTCCTGGACTATCCATGGACTCTGGTGGGTTTAATCCTTGTCCCTCTTTACCAGACTTATACCTGTCACGTATTATATATTATCGCCGTCCGGTACTGACATACGTTCCCCGCTACATAGGCCCGACCATTGCAACGGCGGCTTCGATCAGTACTGTGACTCCGGGAGACGGTACAGCAATATCTCGTTGATCCTAGTTGATTCTGGTCGTGGGGATCTACTAGACTATATGAGCGACTTCTGGAAGGACTTCAGGGGCGATGATGCGAATCTCTGGGAGCATGAGTGGAACAAGCACGGCACTTGTGTCAGCACGCTAGAGACTCACTGCTACACCGACTATTACCCACAACAAGAGGTTGTCGACTACTTCGACCGGACAGTCGAAGTCTTTAGAACCCTGCCTACCTACGAGGTCTGTCTTCCTGCACTCATTGTAGAAGAACGAAACTAAACACACCACTCTGCAGACACTCGCCAAAGCCGGCATTACCCCCTCCTACACGCAAACCTACACTCGCGATGAGATTGTCAATGCCCTCTCCAAGGCCCATGGTGCCGAGGTGACAGTCCGATGTCGACACCAGGCTATCAACGAAGTATGGTACTACTTCAACATCGCCGGGCCACTGCAGACGGGCAAATTCGTCCCATCTGACCCAGGTCAGCAAACCAACCACCTCACAAGTTGCCGATACTAATGACTACAACAGATGGCCAAACATCCAACTGCCCCCGCAGCGGCATCCACTACATTCCCAAGACTCCCCGAAACGGTCACGAGCCAACCAAGACATCCCGTGGACCTGCTGAGCCGACCGCACCGAGCGCGCCCTTTTCAGGAAAAGGGAACCTAATGATCTCAACTAACGGTCAGAAGCGAGGCTGCATCATTAGTCACGGCGCGTGGTTCACCTCGGGAACCTGTGCGACTTTCACGGCCACTAAGGCGTCTGGTATGTGTTCTCCGTTGCTGCTTTCCTATTCAGGCGGGCAGTCAGTAACTGACGGCCCTTCTTGACACCGCAGATGACACAGTCACCCTAAAATCCAGCAAGGGGGACTGCGGGTTCTCGCATGATGTCTTCACCTGCGGCGGATTCATCCGGTCGCCGACTCAATTTACTGTAAGCATCTCACCCCGCCCTTTCTTCTTAAATCCACGTGCACCCCACCAAGACACCTGATGTATATTTGTCTAATCCCTTCCAGGTCGAAGACGGCATGCTCGCCTACAACGACAACACAACCTTCTTCGCAGACAAGGCGCCCAAAGGGCCAACGAAGAGCAAAGTCTTCGCAACTCAAGACGACCATCCTCTCGAGCTATCCATCACATGGAGAGAGGCTTGATCCCAATTTCTTTCGCTTTCTCTCCTCAGTCATTTTACCATATACAGCATCTAAACGCATATAGAATCATACATGTCTCCATATATTTCTGCATTTATACAATACTATTTACATAGTCGAATTTACTTCACGACACCACACTTCCTATGCATTGAATGGAATAAACCCACAGAACTATAGAAAAATTAGAGATCCATTCAAAGCATCATTGACATTCATGGGAGTAGTCAGTTCTATCATAAAGCTAAAGTACAGGCGAGGGTGCGAGCCATGCGAACCACCAAGGCAAGGTTGATAATAGCAGGGTAGGAGGCGATTAAGTAAATTCGTCACGAAAGGCAGATCAACCAAACCAAACGAGAGTACCAAAAATGACTTTTTTGCAATGCCAGCCAGCAGAAGACGAAAGATGCAATAGTAGCATCGGTAGAAAGAAGACAGAAGTTTTTACAGATCAACCCGTTCGTCCGTCCGTTCGTTTGGTACAAAAATCACAATCCATCAGCAGTTAAGCAGTTAAGCAAATCCAAATGACATAAGGAAATAAAAAAGCAAATTCAGATTCAATAGCATAGCATAACATCATGAAAGGGGCATTAAAGAGACAAAGAAAAGACGTTACAAACATTCATAAGATCAATCAACACGTAAAGAGGCAAAAAAGAACGGACGACCTGTAAAAACTCCATAATTTGGCTGGCCGAAAACACAAAGAAAAAGTCATTTTCTTGCAAAATAAAACTCCCAAGATATTGCAGATAAGTCCCGGGGGTTCAGAATGGTTGTTGGTGGTCGTACATGGTGTTGTTGCGCGAGAAACAAAAAACAAAGAAATCAGATGCAGTAAGTAATATGCATTTGCGCCAAGGGGGAAGGAAAGCAGAAGTTCATATGCCCGAAAACAAGATTTCTTTTTTGAAACATTGTTCTTGTTGTTGTCACAGTTTATCATCAGTTTGCAGTGGATAAAATTGGTCGTTGAAATGAGTTGGTCGTAGAAGTGAAGTAAATGAGGGAAATTGTACATGGTTCTCGTGTCGTAGTATGAAAAAAAAAAAAAAAGGCATAAAAATCATTTCGCGTCTTATATGCATGGGTTCCAAATCATTTGCGGTCCTAAATCGTTAAAAGTCTTGCACATTAGGCTGTAGAGCCTGAGTCGTTGCATCGTTGCCGGGCGTTTGATGTTTTTCGTTTTTCCATGTCATCTTTCTTGTCGATCGTTATGTAGGTTCTTGTTCCGTTATGGTCGTTTCTCTTTAGTCCATGAAGAATTCTTTAGTCATAACATCCGAGGCTTGTTCGTCCACTTGAAATTGGAAGAAGAAGTCGTCGGCCATGACGGGGCCCGAGGAGAAGGGCTTGTTGGGGAACAGTTCCAGACCACCTTCAAAGGACGTCGTGTTCACATAGTCTGGGAACGGGGCCATGTCGGGATCAGCCAGGTCTCCGAATTCGGGCTTTCCAAAACCAGAGGTCGAATCCTGGCTAATAAAAATGTCGAGATCAGAGCCGTTAGATGATTCGGACAGGGTGGGAGCGGCATGGGGTGAAGATAGAGAATGGCTAGCAGCGCCGGAAGCATCTGTATACGGGCATGTCTCCGGATCAGACATGTAAGGCAAGCTGGAGTCTGTGACGAGGCTCTCGAGGTGCTGCTTTGATGGTGAGGAAGGAAGCATTTCATCTTCTGAGCTGGGGGTGATCGATCGCTCGTCCCGAGAAGGCGATGGCTTGATTCCCACGCTGTAACCGGGAGATGCAGGAGGCGTGAATGTGAAAACCTCTGGTGGCAACGAGTAGTTGGGGTTGTTGAACACTGGCATCTCTTCCGCCGGGCTAGAACCATGCAGGCTCATGTTTTCGAAGACTTCGGAAGGAGGCGTGTTGCGTGAGGACTCGGATGTGGACGAGTCGAAAGATGACTTCTCTGCAATCCTCTGACGCGTTCTCGATGCTTTGTCCTGTCTCTCATCCATCTCTGGTCGGTGCTTCTTCGGACGACCCCGTTTCGTTGTCTTGCGCACAATGCCCTTGTAGCCGCCAATGCACATACCCCGCTGTCTGTGTCGAGTCAAGGCGTCGTGTCTCGCAAATACATTTCCACAGAGGCACTCGTAAGGCTTGTCGCCGGTATGGATCTTAGCATGACGCTTAAGGTCATGACCGCGAACAAAGCATTTGTTGCAATGATCGCACTTGTACTGGCGGTCGCCCAGGTGAGTCTGGACATGTGACTTGATATTCTCCTTTCTTCCAAAGCGGCGCTCGCAGCCGGGGTGCAGGCATACCCATTTCCCGTCCTCCGGGTCAGGCCCATGAATGTACGAAGCAATCTCGTCAATGGTGACACCCGTTTCTTTGATTGATGCTTGCACGCGAGCGTCGAGGTTCAGGTTATCGATAGACGCAACGCGCGGAGAAAGCTTTGGCTTGGCCGATGAGCTAGGTGTTGCACTGGGCGTCTTTCTGTGATGCGGACGGCTGGGAGTGGCGGGATAGATAGGGATTTTGGGGGTCTTTGCACCTCCATCTTCGGGGCAAGGCATAGCCGCAAGCTCGGGAGATGACATGAAGGATGATGATGATGCCGACGACGACGATGCATACTGGCTTTGTGACAGACTTTCCGATTTAGGAACCTCAAAGCTAGAACCCTGCTCATAGTTAAAAGTATCAAAGTTATCCACTTCAAATGATGCTGTGTTCGGGGGGGTAGAAACATCAAACTTCTGCTGCGTGAAAGTAGTTCCAGCCACGCCTTGGAGAGACTTTGCTCGCTGCATGTACGACGACTGGGCTGATCCGGGCATCGCGCTACCCTGATCTTTGGTGGATCCTGACTGGATGTCCCCACCGTACTGAGCTAGGCCCACGGTTTGCTTGAATGGTGTTGTTGCTGGTGTAATCGGGGCATACTCTACACGACAGATTAGCAAGTTGTGCATAGTAAAGAGCCGACAGAGCCATAAACGTACGTGTATTGCCGTGCTTAGGCGTATGCGGGTGCTGAGACGGAGTAGCATCCGACTGCACCGATAACTTCCTTACATCAGCGTGAGGGGGGAAAGTTGGCTGGTAAAAGTCCCAAAGTCCCGTCTCGAAAAAATGACCTTCCGTTCCAGACCCGCACGGAACCTTAGTGCTGTGCATCTGTTGTTGTTGCATCAGGTCGAACTGCATGTTCATGTGCGGAACGTCCTTTGCGAAGGGCGCATTCAGGTAGGCCATGCTTGGTTGACTGTCCTGGCCATTGTGACTTTGAAGGTTTTGCACCTCTTCCGGGGTGAAACAGTCGGGGATCACGGGCATGGGGGCTGATTGCTGGGGAAACGACGGCTGCGCTACACACAGGTATCGTTGGTGTTGGCTGTCCCCGAGCATATTCGAATGGTGCTGCTGCGGTACTGTAGAGTTAGTAGTATGATTTGTACCATCTTGCATGGATTGCGATCGCTGGACGCGCAAAGCTCTGTTGTCAAAACTCTGTCCTCGACGATGGGCATGATAACGATGCATCGCTTGCGCCGGAAGGCTGGGGGCTTTCACGGCATCAAGAGCGGACGGCGTCGAGATCTGCCGCCTGTGTTGTCGATGTCGCTCATGAAGGTTGCTGTGCGCCGTGGACAGCATGGTGGGCGAAAAGGGACTCTTTCTTCGAGCGCTTATCGCAAGGTGCTTGACCGACGGATTGACAGACCTTGGTGTTTGGTCGGATCTGGAGGATTTAAATGCGTAAGCTTTCTGCACCGTGTTACTATGCTAGAATTCACATCCAGCGCCGAGAGTTACCAACCTCACGCAATACTAGCCACACGGCTGGGCCGACAAGATGGTAATGAACCGCCCTGCACTGGTGTCAGTCGGTGGTCTCCTCAATTAGAACACTCACGCTAGGAAGAAAAAAAGGTTAAAGAAAACGCAGAAGAAAGAGCAAAAGCAAGCGCAACAGTCAAGGAATTAACGCAGCCTCTGCACTAGATCTATGCAAAGGAAGATTTCTTGCGACAGCTATCTAAAATGCGCTGGAAAGTCGCAGATTGAAGACGCAATCGAAGCCTTTATAAGAAGCTTCCCTGCGCGCGAATTGGTGGAACAGCTGAGCACCTCTCCTTCGATAAAGGTGGGAAGATGGAGAGCAAGAACCAAGGAAGTCTTTTAAGGTATTTAGAGGTGGGAACCAGGGAAAGGTGGATGGAGATGATGAAGCTATCCCGATCTATCGCCCACGGTTCAGATCAACAATGGTGTCGTTGGCCTAGCAACGCGGTCGGCTGAGGCGTCAGGGAAACCAGCGCCCCTTGGCATGGAGCCCGGCGATTTGGCCAGCGCAGTGGATCGCGCCCTGGTTCCAGCACGGAGCATTAGCAGCCCGCCGCAGCAACCAGTGGTCCGAACACAATTAAAGCTTACGATCCGGCAGGTTTAGTTGCAACCTGCAAGGAGGTTGCTTCTCGCCTGGCTTCTCCCTGCGGTCCAGACAACCACCCTATCTCCATTATCGATCTATCCACATTGCCTCTTATAACTGACGGGAGGAGGCGACCTGTGGCCTGTGAGGGTTTGAAACATTATTTCACCCTTCCTCTGCAATAGCCGATTTAATAATTGACGCCTATCCCGCATGCTATTCAATCAATAATTAGCAACAGCGAGCCGAGGGATGAGAGGGCGGCAAATGATGACGATGACGAAGTTGACGTCGATGCTGAGAGGCTGGATTGACCACTTCGTCTAGTTGGTTTTAGGCCTAGTCGTACTTTCTGCCTGGCTTTTCCGGGCCGTGTCTATGCCTGGCGATGCAGGCACCAAACTGACGTATCCAAGAAACCGTTAAAGTCAGCAAGTCCCGTGACCTCAGCCGCAGTCCATCACATGACTGAGGACCCGGAGGGCTGATTATCCGAGTGTCCACCCGCACTACGCCTGACTCGGTAATCTGGACACCACGTGACCGCACAACCGATTTTAACGAAGCCCACCACCACCGAGGATATTTTCCTACCACGATCGCCGAAGGTTTAGGAAGACAAGTCTTGTCGAGGTGAGTTGATGACCCTATACATTTACGATGTGACAAGGAAAAGGATTCAATATTATTTGGACCATCTCCTCTTCATTTCTTTCCACTTATCCCAGAAAATATCTCCTGCGCACACTTTAGCGCGCGAGATACCAAAATTCCGGGGGAGTAATATGTGAACAAGAAACGAAGATGAGAGCTGCGACGCAGATAATATTGAACTTCATCCTTGCTCACGCACCAGTATCAAGTAAAACGATGAACTAACATCCTTTTTTCAACCCAGACCTTCATCAAGATGCAGATCTTCGTCAAGACCCTTACGGGTAAGACTATCACCCTCGAGGTGGAGTCCTCGGACACCATTGACAATGTCAAGTCCAAGATCCAGGGTAAGCATACACACACACACATACCTACAATCACCGGTATTTCTATCAGGCAACATTTACTAATGATTATTTACAGACAAGGAGGGTATCCCCCCGGACCAGCAGCGTCTGATCTTCGCTGGTAAGCAGCTCGAGGACGGCCGTACTCTTTCGGACTACAACATCCAGAAGGAGTCCACCCTCCACCTGGTGCTCCGCCTGCGTGGTGGTGGTAAGAAGCGCAAGAAGAAGGTCTACACCACCCCCAAGAAGATCAAGCACAAGCACAAGAAGACCAAGCTTGCCGTCCTCAAGTACTACAAGGTCGACGGTGATGGCAAGATTGAGCGTCTTCGCCGCGAGTGCCCCTCCCCCGAGGTATGTTTAATTCCGCCTTTGGTTGATCCCTGCAGTTGGCGCAGTTTACTGACTTCGTCTCTTAGTGCGGTGCTGGTATCTTCATGGCCGCTATGCACAACCGCCAGTACTGCGGAAAGTGCCACCTCACCTACGTCTTCGACGAGTCCAAATAAGTGGACTTTGCCGATCGTTCCGCCATGTCTTCTTTCCGGTAGCGCCTAGCAATGTCGGTCGTGAATGTGTGGTGGATGAGGTTGGGACGTGTGCGCTTTGATCGTCCCATAGTGACCAAGCAATGAGAAACGAAAAAAATTCGAAACCGCTCTCAATTCAAGCTACCTAATTCGTAGACAAAGCATATGTAAATGAGACAAGCCTGCTCAACTAAACTGATACAAGGGGGTACCCATCGGATCTACTGAAATCCATTCCTCAAGTTGTCGTATTTGCTCTCGGGGTAGGAGAGCACGTTCTGCGACTGGTCAAGGGCTGACACGCCTCCAATCCCTTCCACAAAGGTTCCAATCAGGCTGCCGTCAGCTTTGTTGGCGGTTTTTCCTCCCTTGTCGCCGCTGGTTTCCCACCACATGCCACCGCCGAGCTGAAGCTTGGTAATATAATCCAGTTTCATCTCGCTCACGGCCACAGTGTCGTAGGAGACCATGGTGCGTGCCGTGGGATCATAGCTCCAGGATGCACCCAGGTTGGCATCGACATGTTCGGTGGCTCCTGTTCTTGGGAGCGCTTTGTAGTCCCAGACACCTTGTTCCCAGCTTCCCTCTCCCACCCCCGAGAATGCGGTCCCGGGTCCATCAGTGTTGGTAAAGGCACGCCCATACAGCGGCATTCCCAGGATAATCTTGGACGAGGGGACCCCACCATTCTGGATGTAGTAGTTCACTGCCTCATTGGTTGAGAATGGCGTCGATGCTGGCTTGTCAGCGGAGGGATACAGGTTGGCTTGATGGCCAGCAACAGTGTCCCAACTTCCGGCATAGTCGTAGGCCATCAAATTGTAGAAGTCCAGATATGGCGTCATCTGAGACAGCTTGAGCTTGGTGTAATTAGCAGGACCTGCATGAGATCAGCATTCATTGGGTCTGACTTGGTCTCGCCCTGGCTAAAACAAATAATATCATCCACTTACCAGCTGGACAAGCGATGGTGAGAAGGAACTTCCTGCTCGCACCAGCAGTTGCATCCAGAGTCTAGACAAAATTAGTGCATGCGTGCGCGCATTACTTACGATCGGGATGGAAAACTTACCTCTCGACACTTCTGAAGCAGAAGGACCATATTTTGCGCTTCTGTATCATCTGTAGGTAGTCGTCTTAGTATCCACCTCTAACTGGTCACACATCTTCCCCAACATCCCAGAAACTAACCTTTGGGATACTCCCAATCAATGTCGATACCTGCAGGCCCAGCATTAGCGAATCAAGTGCCACGCATTGTCATAAACAAGTCACATACCATCGAATCCAAGATCAGTGACCAATTTAGTTGCAGTCTCAGCAAACTTAGTGCGGCCAGCATCAGTGCTAGCGGCCTGAGCGAAATTGGGAGAGTAGGTCCAACCGCCAATGGAGAGCAAGACCTTCAACTTCCTATTTTGCTGCTTGAGCAAGAACAACTGCTTGACACAGCCGTAGACATTGGTACCGACGTCATTCCAAGAGTCTGTGGGGTAGTGCTTCTCAATGTCCGACCAGGTGTCGGACAGATAACTGTGGCGAGAAGTCAGTGCGGCTGATCAGGTGGCAAGGGGGTGATCAGCCATGTGCTGCAGAAGAGTGGAGAGCTTACACTTCACCAGTGTCCGGGCGAACGTTAGCAAATGCGTATAGGACATGAGTCAGTTTGTCGGCCGGCATGTCCTGAGGATTGTAGTTGCGGCCATAGATCGCCTAGCATTGGCATTAGAACTACTTTACAATACGAATGGACTGCCTCTCGTGCTGGGCTGTGAATACGGCAGCCAAAATTGAGTATATGCTCACCCAATTGACGAAGTAGGCCACGGACTTCAGACCAGTAGACATGGCTGGGATGGTAGCGTTCGTGTCGGTAGTAGGTGCAGGATTGGGCTGGAGCGAAAGCACAGCTGCGTCATTCCAAAAGTACCGAGCAGAGAGGATGAGAGCAAGGATGAGAAGTACGAGACAGTGAATCAATCGCGAGAAAGCCATGATCGGCAATAGTAATCAAAAGCACTTACCAGCATGCAAGAGGCTGGTAAGCAGAACCCGGAAGAGTCAGTCGGAAGGAACGAACGCTGCAGCAGGGGGGAAGAAGTGGAATGATTGTACCTGCCTTAGGTCACCTCTCCTGTATGGTACTATATAAATAACAGCAATTCGGATTCCTGATTGGCTCAGAGTCAATAGCGGCGGTGCAACTGTGGCTGCAGGAGACAGGTGGTCTGCGCTTATGTGATCATCAAAATGTGGCTGACTGGGATTTCAGGAAGCTGATGGGCATCTACTACTCCAGGAGTTCAGTGGAAGGTTTCCAATTTATACCTCTATTCGGTAGATAGAACACCGTTATATTCGGCTTGTGAAAGCTCTTTGAAACACAAATTGTGCCGTCGGTGGCGTCGGTCATTTCTTGTCTGACCATGCCATGCTCTAAATTGTAAACATAGTCTTCCTGGCAGTATAGGCCTCCATGGTTACGACACTATATCGTGTGCTTCCTTGATAGTTAAACTCTCGGGGAGGATAGTTGAGGCTAGACTGGATAGAACAGGGCGGGGATGCTTAAAATTCCTCAAGTGATCTGTGCCTGGGTATCTGTCACGAGAACAAAGAGATCGGCTATCGGGGAGGGATCCTGGTTCGACAATCCAATCCCCAGGCTTGCATTGATCGTCCCCGGTGCATCTCAGTTCAGATGACGTTTCGAAGGGTAATTTACAAGCGCATGATGTATCTCGGGGCAGTTCACGACTCCGGAGATATCATGGGAGCTGAGGTTACAACTTCCCGACGTCCGGCATGACCGTAGGTAACATCGAAGTAGCAGGAACTCTATGGCCGACTGCTCTGTGATGAAGCGTAGTTCAAAAGTATAGGCCATGTAAGGGAGCAATGAATGACTTACTCCGATCAGGCCATGTAATTAGGATGCGAGGTGGGAGCGTGCGCATGATGCATCTCGCTTGTTCTGGACTTCGGAGACCACCACGATTACCGATCTCACCTTCGTCGAGATCAATGCACAGGGAGACAAGGGGGGGGTGGGGTAAGGAAGATGCAACCGTAGTGGTAGCGAGCAGTTCTGTAACGAGTAGAAAGCATTTCGATGCGCGAATGGGAGGAAGAGCGGAAAGGGAATTAAGGAATGAGCATTCCCGGTTGTACCATGGATCCTGGCCGAACGTGACAGATGACACTAATCCTGCAACCTCGTGGCCGAAATTTGGGGACCCATCGACGGCCGGAAGGGATGTCAACTCCCAGTCACTAGTTAGATTAGAACCAGGATACGTACAAAGTAGTCATCACCTTGATCGTAACGCCAGAGGGTCCATCCGGGAAGGTGATCAGTGAGTGGGAGCACGTCCGACGGGATCCCCGCCTCGCCCGTGACTGCAAGCCCTTAACCAGACCAGGAAACAGATCCAGAAAAATGAAGAACGAGAGAGCGACCGAGTGGATCAGTTTCCTGGACCTTCTCAGCTGAAACCTTTGCCTCTATCGCACGGCCGGGGCACTGATTGGCGCGGGGGACTTTTAAGCTACTGCAGGGCACGGTTGCACGGCCACAGTTTGATCCCACCAGCATTGCAATTTGGAGCAGATCTGCCAAATCAGGATTTGACCTGCGATGAAAAATTTTTCAAACTGGTTGAGGAGAACGGACAGATCTCATGGAACCGCCGTGCATCTGCGTCAGAGGCCAATCCCCTAAATTCTTTTTTCCTTTTTGCTCTCTCCAACCCATCTCCGTATCGCTTTCCGGGCGCATGCAGCAATGGGTCCTCCCCGCCCCATCCAGTTCAGCTGGGATGTCCTCAACCAGCTGCACCCAAGAGTTTAGCAGCGACCCAGCACGTCGGTAACTCCGGCGGCTGTCATTGGATGAGTCGAGTGTGAGGATCTCGTTTCGTGTCTATCTGTCGCTCCGGCCAGAGCGTTTCGCCCCTCGACACGGTAAATTCGACGCCAATGAAAAAAATTCAACACCAGCAATTCAGCTGGTAGGCCGATTCCCGCATCCTCCTAGCCATGTGGACGACTGGAACCGACTACTATCCCGGCCAAACTCAAAGTTCTCGTTTCAAAAATTCTGGATAATTATTCGAAAATTCTCCCCCTTCTCCACAATAACCCGTCGGGTCCACAGGGCGGGCTTACCGACTGCTTGACAGGAAACGACTGGCAAGCCACGCGCTATCTTCTCTGTCGACATCACTGTGGCGTGTGTCGCAGAAGTAGACCTTTGCCCATGTGGATGACCCTGGTCGTACCAATTCCCTCGCCTAGGAGGAATCCGTAACATGCCAAGGACTAACAAGTACTATCACCGATAGATTGTTCGCTTCAGCTTTGCAGAGCGGAAAATTGATCCGTCAATAATGAGGAAACTGTCGGAGTCGCACTAGTCTACCGCTAAGGCAGCAACATCCCTGCCTGGGGTTGCATACTTGCATCGATAGTCCCAAAATAATCTGGCTGCTCGCAGCGGGCCCAAGAGAAATTTAGGGCAATAATTACCAACAATACATTGAGAAGCAATCAAGCAAACTAACCCTCGCTGGGGATTTCCAATTAAGTCGCATCTAGCGTAAGCCATAATTCAAGGGGGATATCATGACATGAAGGGAAACCGAACAAAGTAGAAGATCAATGTAGAAGCCGAAAAAGGGCAAGTGCAAAGAAGAAAAGTATAACCGAACATATGAGGCGTATCATAGGGAATCACACAGCTTTTCTTTTTCCAAAATCAGAGCACGACGAGCGACCTGCGCCCAAAATTGCGGATAACAAACCGCCCACATCAAAGGGTATACCGAAATAGCCAAGCAAATGGTGCTGTAAGCCCGAAAACCATTTAAAACATCATATATCCATACACTGCAACTTCTCGTCCTGCCAAAAGAATCAGGTGTATAGTAAGTTGCACATCGTGAGCCCAGCAATTCATGGGTGATAACGGATCCAGGTGAGGATCACTGGCAGGGAAGGATCGTCGGCAAGCCAATGACCTGCCCGCGTGTCTGCAGCCCGGAGATCAGCAACGACGTATTGATCCGTCACTTGTGCCATTTCCTATTGTTGTATTCGATGTCAGTCAATTGCTCAATGACCGTAACGCTCAGGGCTTGACTCACCTGTCGGAACGTGTTGCTCACAGTCTTGAGTTGAGCAGCGTGCTGAGGTCCAGGCTGTTGTCCTCGCAGGATGTTCTGACGGTTGATAGCCCATCTTCTGGCGGCTGCCACCCGAAGGTAGATGCGATGGGCTTGAAAGCGCCGGGCGCTGGCGTCAAGAATCACTCTCTGCAACTCCGCCTTCTCCGTCTCCACGTTTGACTGGGCGGGTGTCATGCTGGGATTGTAGTTGGAGGACATCAACGCCTGAGCGGCAGCCAGGCCTTCTCTGATCGTCTTGTAGCCCTCTTCGTTGGCTTCTGCGCTCGGGATTTGGACGTTCTGTTGGGAGATATGCACAAGTAGAGTTCGGTAGTCGTTTATGATTTCGGCCACCCGCAGGGCACGTGCTTCGTTGACTATAACATGTCAATGCCATTGACGACGCCAGGATAATGGAGAAAAGCGAAGGTGTCATTACTTACGTCCGTCAGCCATTGCGATTGTAGTAAACTTGAAGTTGCCTCCGACAAGTGATTAAAGGTATGTGAAGAGTGGGCGTGCAACAAGAGGCACTAAAGGAACTATATCCAAAAGGAGAGAATGAATAGAGTGTGCTAGAGTAACGGTCAAGTCAATTGACTAGAAGAGACAGGGCGACCTTTATATCCTTGATGAGTCGAACTCTGATTTCCTCTATGGTAATGTCATCTGAAGGCTGAGGGTGGGATATCCTTTTAAGCTTAACGTTCAGCCATGAGGATTCCCGATGACCATGGGCCATCAGCCCGGCGATGGGGAACATGGTGAAAGAGGATCATCATCATGAGTAGTGGCTGGCTGCGTTGACGGACGCTGATGGAGAAAGGAGGACATCACAGCTAGGGACTGCAGCTGGATAATGACACCCATTGTGGATCAATAGTAGAAAACAAGCCCCATGAGAGCCATGTGTCCGAAAGGGCCTGGGATGTCCACCCACGGTGAATGGATCTAAGGCTGATATCTAAGCGCGACGCTAAGCAGCTGGCCCAGGTTAGGGGATCAATGCTTATGGGTCTGCATATGCATAGGGGAAATGAAAGATACACAAAACTGGATCACGGCAACCGGCGATAGCAGTCAACGCAGGGGTGGGAATATTGGAAAAAGAAAATCAACACTAGAAACGATGTTCAAGACTGGGGCCGGGCAGAGGAGACTCCACTGGCTTGTGGGTGGAGAAGGTGGACGGGGTGATACATCGCCGCATGTGTCACAGAAGGACCACACCAGTGGGAAAGCCGATAAAGCCACAATGAAAATTTTATTATGATTATTTTAGGATAGTTTGACTTTCTGGTTTAAGGAGGTGCTGGATCTTGGTTCATCTTGCAGACTGAGTGGAGACGGACAGGCATGAGCAGATGGACCACCAACCCATGGCATGATTAGTTAGCCTAATCCTGGTAAGTACTGTAGTTAGTTAGCGGAACTCTAGGTTGTCAAAAGACACTAAAAAAAAAAAAAAAAAGTAGTGGGAAGTGCGAGTGACTGCCAGCTGGGATGAGGGTCATCCACCCTCGGTAAACGCCACACCCTAGTAATTCATAGTTCAACATCAGCTGCAAGTTGGGACGGAGATATTGACGAGAATGGAATAATCGAGTGCAAGTGCAGGGAAGTCCTCGCAAGGATTTGGCTTTTGACACTGACTCGGTTTAGGTTCAGGCACCGTTCGGTCCCACGGCGAACAGGCAAGGGCGTCAAGAGCAAAGAGTAGAGCAACCCAAAAGAAAAAAAAAAAAGAAATCAAAATGACAAAGATAGAACGGCGGCCAAAAAGAAACCGCGAAAGCCACAAGTTCCAGCTCAGCCACAAAGAGGCGAGTAAACCAGCTGAAAATGGAAAAGCAAACACCGTAGCCTCAGGCTTGAAGGTTTACTCCATACTACGGCGTACTAGTAGTTTCTTTCATCATCCGTCCGGGTTGTTGCTCTCTCTCCTTCCTTGTCTGTCACTTCATGACTACTTGCAGGATACGAACAGAATCTCCGTCCCGACCTCCTCGGTGGCAAGTTTCATCATGCTCCTCCAATGAGCATGGTCAACGTTGCTTCAATGCAGAATGCTAGCCGAGAGATTGTTTCCCTGTTGAGTGCTAAAGCTTGCAGATGGCACGCTCAATACTTCATAGCAGTAGACGTCTGACATTGCTCTGCATCGATAATCCCGGTTCCGCCGTTCCTTTCTTTAGTAACAAGTGCTGCAACATGGGACGTGCAGATAAGCAACTTCCCTCTCTAAGCCTGTCAGATCGCAAAGACCATACTTTATCGCACCGTGCTTCACCGTGCTTGTCTATCCCCATATTTGCCACCAGTCCGGAGGAACAGGCGACGGGTCTTTCCGATACACGAGCCCCGGTCACAGTAGCTGCAAGGGGGGCTTTCCAGGTTTTTGGATGTCAAGTACAACAGCGGTGCAAAAAAAGCAATTCAACCAACCAGGATGGGGAATAGAGTTTCGTCAGACACACGCCAGCTCAGGGCATCAGAGAAAAATAGTGATGTTCATCGATCGTTCTGCGTCTACCAACATGTATGCTCCCAGTAAAAAACAATGAAAACCAGCTCAGTCCTTCTCGCTGATGGCCTGCAGTCGTTCGTCGATCTCTTCCTCCGTCAATTTCCGGAAACCAATGTCTGTCCCTTCCTGGCCATCTGCCCGTGGCCCTCCCACGATTCCAATCTCCAATTCGTGTTTCTTGAAATCAACACTCAGTACATTGCTCAAAGCGGTGATTCCCAGCTCCACAACATCCTCCCAGCTGCCGTCAGCGTACTCCTTGTTTTTCAGCTTCTTCTCCAAGTAAGTGATCGCCTCCTGCTGCTTCGGTCCAGATGCAGTCGCCTTATATCCGATGTAGTATCCAGCAGGATCGACCTTGTAAAGCTGGGGGCCCTTCTCCGAATCGACAGATACCAGGGTCGTGGCAACTCCGAGGGGACGCATGTAAGCCTAGAGGGTGAACGTGATCCATCAGCCAATGTCTCGGGCTAGCTTTTCGAGCAGGTGACACATACCCTTTGCGTGTAGACCTGATTGATATTGCCAAGTCGCTTTGCGAGGACATCACAGGGCATTTCGTAGCCATACTTGTATCGGAATTCAGCTGCCTCACCACGAGCACGGTCAACACTGGCCCTCGCATCGGCGATGGAGCCGGTCATTACACAGCCCACTGACGGGGAAAGTCTGAAGATGTACGAAACGGAGGAGGGGTCGATCAATTTGTCCTGGTATGGTTATCAGAGGATGCCCGATAGGCCGTCTCAGGCGGCGGGGACGAGCTTACAGCAACTTTCTTCTGGGACAGAACCACAGCGCAGTTCTTTCCCTTCACACCTAGCGAGGTGATGTTGGCCGAGGTGATAGCCTTGAAGGCATATTCTAAGCGCCGAGGGCATCAATGGTGAGTAGGCGGACTTGATGATCTAACGTGGTCCGTGATCGGCGCTCTTCGAGGGTCGTTGGGACGAGAGGCGGAGGTGATGAGGAGAGGGACACTTACCAACTTGGTACAGACGACCCGAGTCTGAGAAGATGGTAATGTGTCTGTCATATGCACTTCCTGCTCACGGAGGTTGTCAGTTCATCGATGAAGTCATGGATATCGGTCCAGTCGAGAGTCCGGGAAGTCTCACCAGACATGATTGCGGTGATATATCAGACTCGATTCGAAGATACAGTGGAAATTAATTAGATTTATAGTAAGATGGAAATGGAATCGAGATGGGGGAACGGAGGATCGAGGACGAGGGAGGAGGGACGTTAGCAGAGGACGCGTGCCAGAGGGTGCCTGGCCGGAGCTCTAAGCTTTGGGTCCCCGTTTGAGTAAGCTCCAGCGTCACCGCCTTCACGGCTTCAGCCTTTGTGCCGCTCACTTATCATCCATCTCTCTCAGTGCTCAACTATGAGCTCCTTCAGGCTTGAATATGTGTTCGTCAATATAAGTATTATGGTGGTATCTTTTCATACTGACTGATTTCTCGAGATGTCTCTAAGTCAATATCATGAATACTATAGTGAATATACAATCCTAATCAATTAACAAGTAGTACTACTGTATCGGTACTAATAGGATATAACTTGAAGTGGTTTAATTACTACTATACTAGTAGCACTATTTGTTTTATATAGAGATCATGAGTTTCTACAAAGCAACAAGTCTTCCTGGAGAGCACTATACTGTCAAGGTGTGAAGTCATACACGGCAGGACTGGCCTACCTGTTTATTCTTACTATAATGTAGAAACAACTGCCAAGCAACTGCCAGAGTTGTGATTGATCAAGCTATAGCGATCTCTATGACTGGAAATGGGGGTCTATAAAAAACTCCTATAAACATGGACATCTCCCTTATTTGGGACATAACGATCAAACAGCAGGTCATTGAAAGGGTGTGCTCATTCAAGAAAGCACAAGCACCTGACTTCCTAAAGTGGCATCACAGCTAGTCACTCGAACTTGAGCTGTCCGAATTGCTGTCGCTAGCACTGCTGCTGCTGCTGCTGCTGTCACTATCACTGTCACTGCTATCTTTCGATGACGAGGCTTTAGCGGCTGTAGGCTTGGCCTTGGTCTTCTTCTCGTCGTCGCTGTCGCTGTCGCTATCACTGTCGCTCGAACTCTCGCTCTCACTGCTGCTCGAGATCTCAACGATAGCAGTACGGTTCTTCTTCTTTTTCTTGCCGGGCTGGCTCTGCGCCCCCTTCTTTCCTTTCTGCGCAGCAGGCTTCGGCTTGTGGTAATTGAACAGCGTACCGTTAACAGCAAACAGAATGAGCTCAGCCCGTGCCCTGTTCTCGTACTTCTTCAGCGTCTCAGCATTGAGCTGCCCAGTAACATCTTGGCAGTCGATATCTTGACCCGCAGCCAAGCGTGTCCGGAAGACACCAACAGCCTTGTCGTAACTCGCCTTATCCGTCGCCGCGGAGTCCTCATTCGCTTCAGAAGAGGTACCCTCCTTCGACTCTTCCGTCTGCGAAGGAGTACTTGATTGATCTTCCTCAGCATCGGCTTCCGCCTTGATGACCTCCTCGGCAATCTGTCGCAACCGCAACTTCGCTCCTTCGCTCTTCAAACCCTGTAGATAGGCAAGCAAAGCCGCATTGTACAGCGTCGGGACCTGCTCCAGTGACAATACATGCTTGAAGAGATGCGTCTCGCGGTTCTTCTGGAACTTCCACGCCGACCGATGCTTGTGGTACAGACTCAGGTAGGAAAGGATAGGCGTTTCGTGGATTCTCGGTGTCGTGGTGGATGAAGCATCATTCGAACCGTCCTGCTTCTTGTTCTTCTTCTTCTTCTCCTTTTTCTTTTTCTTTCCCTCGCCTTCATCATCAGCCTTGTCTCCAGTATCATCCCCGGGAATGTCAGCATCAATCTTCATTTGATCCTGCTCCTGCTCCTCCTCCTGATCCTCCGCATCACCATCCAATTTCTTCGCATCCGCCGAAAACGACACCCTCTTCTTCTTCTTTTTCTTCTTCTCCCCATCGTCCTCCTTCACTTCCTTATCTTCCTCATCATCATTCTCAAGCCGTCTCTTCTTGCTCTTCTTGCGATCCTGCTGCTTCTTATCCACAATTCCCTTATCCGTCTCCGTCTCCTCCACCGTATCTTTAGCGTACTTGAGTTTCAGACCCATCTTCTTCCAAGCCGGAATATGTTGTTGCTGCTGCTGTGGAGATTCTTGGGGGTTGCTCGACATTGAGCGATGCGACGGTATGGCAAGAGTCGTTCGATTTGCGGAGCGGCGGTGGACGAAAATGAACAAATTTGCAGTTTATGTGAGTCGCGTTGTCCCAGATATATTAGCAGTGGGAGTACAACGGGGAAAAATGTGATTTAGTGGTGATCAAGAAAGATAGTTGTATGGGTTGTCTCTGGATGGTCGCAGAAAGTTTTGGGGAAATTTTCCACGTGAGGTGCGGAGATAAAATTTAAGTGGACTACTATTTATCTAGCTTATCTCCGCTTTGGTTATCTACTAAGTAGAAGGTGGTAGGTGAATATGCTAGGGATACATACAATCTACTGACTCTTATCAAATTAAATGTGGATCTATACGTGAGATCGTTATGACTTCTCATTATACATTCTTCTGATTTTTGAATTTATCACTTCGCTTCAATTCCCATCCAGCCCAGCCTATGCCACCCCATCCTTGACTCCATGAACTTGTACAAAACAGACACTCAGACAGACCAAAAACTCTCCTCGAGGGAGATAGATATACAGCTCCAAAAGTCACAGCAAACATCTACAACTTACTACCCAGTAGCGCTTCCAGTCCCGCTATTTTCCGCTTTCTCCCTCTCTTTTTCTCTCCTCCCCTCCTTAGACGACGACGCATTACCCTCAGCAGCAGCATTCGCATTCGCAGCGGCAACAGCGGCCGCCTTACGTCTCGCTCTCTCCTTATCACGGGAACTAGATCCCGCAGTCCTTCGTCTCCTCACGGGTTCATACACATCATTGAAGTTCATAACAACGCCCAGGAACCGCATATCCACATCAGGCTGGTAAGCAAGATCACCTAGGAGGACATTGAGACGGGAGCGGAACTCCGCGGAGAGGTCGCGGAGCCGGACACGCAGGGAAGCAAGCATATGATCGTCCGCAGAGAGGTCATTGGGGTTGAGGGACGATGGGGTGCCGATGCCACCGAAGTCATCGGCGCCACCACCGGCGAGGTTGTTGGGCGTGTAAGCAGCAACGGAGGGGGACATAGAGGAGGAGACGGAGTCCTTATGGCCTCGAAGGGGACGGCGGAGGTCACGGTCCGTGAGGCCCCAGCGGCCCTGGGCGGTGCGGGTTTCTATTTTGGCGCTGAGTTCCTGTCTGCGGGTGAATTCAGCGACGGAGAAGGAGTAAAGGCCGTCAACGGCGTCTTTGTAGGCGAGCATGATTTTGAGGATTTGATGGAGTTGGGTGAGGAAGCCTTCTTCTTGTTGGGGTTTCGAGTTGGTTGAGGAAGAGGAGGTGTTGTTTTTGAAGGAAGTGGAGGAGCCCAGGAGGCCTTTGTGGGTGATGGAGTTGAGGTATTTGGTGTGAGCTTCGATTAGGTCGTCTAGGGTGCAGCCGGGCTTGGAAATGGAGGCTTGTAGTTGGTCCCAGCTTGCTTCGATCACTTCGAATAGGATGTAGTATTGCAGTTGGCACACGAAGTGGATCATCTCGGCGATTACGCATCTTGCTCGTTTCCAGTCGGAGCCGACTTTGTCGTTGACGCTTCCTAGGACGCCGCGGGCCCCCGTCATGCATCGTCGCCAGGTGCTGCCAAGGGCGAATTCGACTCGTTTCACTCGCCAGAGGAAATTGAAGACTTTCAGGTATTGAGTGGAGCCCCAGGGTGTGATGACCACGTCTACTGGGGCGTCGATTTTGTATTCCAGGGTGAAGCAGTCCCAGCCAATCTCTCCATGGCTGAGCTCTAGCATGCGGGCATCCAGCCGACGGAGGACATCTGGGGAGTCGTATTGTGCGTTTGATGCTCGAATGGCGTGCTCCAACTGGGCAGTCAGTGTATGCCGGTACTGTGAATTAGCTGGCCGGTCGAGGTTGGACGCTAATGACTCCATCAGCAAGGCGATGAAATCACCCTGTCCGAGCAATAGGTATTTCTTCAGCGCTCGAAGATGGTCGAATAGTTTGAACTTGTCGTCCATAAGGTAGATCAGTCGTGCCATCGTAGTCTTATAGGCTTCATCAATCGAAGACTCTAGGGTAGCCGTATCGCCATACCGCAGCTCCTTGGACGCTTCCTTCGAGTAGGCTTCGACCCACCCCGAGTCTCCACAGCCATATCGTATGAAGTTCAATGATTTTCCGATCAGGAATACCTTCTTAGCAAAGTTCTTGTGTGATTATGGAAGGTACCATCTCATCGTCAAGCTTATACTTATCCTCCCAAACACTGGTTGCAATGCGACGTGGGTCTGTGCTGGGCCTGAACTCTGGCTCGACAACGAAGAATTCTTTGTAGGGGTCGGACAGTTCGCCATCGTAAATCCAAAGCCGTAGCATATCGTAGAAGGGCCGGGTGACATGGTTGAGAAGCTTCTCTGCCAGAGCGCATACGAAGGGGTCGCCATGAGACGTCGAGAAGCCATGAATTAGAGAGATCAGTTGACCACCTTTCTTGTCTGTAATATCAACGTTAGCTTGAATAACTGCCCATTCACAGTTGGAGCACATACTCTGAGCTTCCTCAACAATAAGACTCATCAACCGCAGCGCCATCGTTGCATCTCGCGTCCAGACAACACATCGCTTCAATGTCACACCACTCTTAGCGGCACTCCGAGGATCATTCGGGTCTGCAGGCGCAGCCAACGCCCGCCGAATCTCCCCTTCCAACGTAGCAACTAAGCCCAGATACGAGCGGAGTTCATTCGAGAGAGCTGCCCGCAAGCTCTGGCTCAAAAGGCCCCCGCCAGAGCTCTCAACAAAGGACGACAACCCACGATATAGAAGGCAGGGCTCTGCAAGTGAATTCAGAAGCGAAACGACAGGCAAAGGCAGCGACGGCGGTAATTTCAAGATAGACGATGAGGAGAATTGCAAATTGGAGGACGACAACCCCTGCAAATTGAACGGTAAATCACGAAGAAGGCCATCTTCCAACGGCCCCGTAGGCTTCTGCTCCTTCTCCGGACCAGGATCCGGCATTATCGTCTTCTGATCATCACTAAACGGTTCTCTAACCCCAGTATTCGCCCGACTACGAGTAACCCGAGTCTCTCGAGCCCTCTCCGTCGTCTGTAACCCCCCATCAAGCTCCGGTTCTCGCTCCTTATCCGCAAACAATTCCTGCCGTCGCACCGAAGCCTTTCTCTCAATCCTCCCAGGCAACTGAGACGCCGACGAGCTAATCGCCGGACCCTCCTCATCCGACTGATCACCAGCGCCCCAACCCTGTTGTTTCGTCCTCTGGCCCTTCCAAAGCACATTCTGCAAATTCGCCGGCTCGACCGGCGGACTCCTCGCCTCCACCATCACCTCGTCATCCATAACAAACCCATCATAATCATCCGCCCCGGAGAGTCGATAAAGTAAGTACAGGATGGCCCATTTCTGCGACAGCACCGGCTGCGTCAACAGACGCGAGTAAAGATTCGAGAACCGCACCGCCTTATCGGGGCTCGCATTCTCGCGCAGTAATTTCCGCTTAATCAGGTCCGACGCGTTGTTGATGTTCTCTCCGCCTGCTAAGCTTCCTCGTCTGTTTATTCCGGGGCCCGGCGGCGAGGACGGATCATTGTTGGCGGCGCTCGTGTAGGTGTCCAGGATGCGCCATGACCGCTCGAGGATATCTTGGTGTCGTCGCTCCTCGGCTGCCGCGAGGGCTTCTTCTGCGTCGTCGGAGTAGCCGTCGTCGATGTCGGAGAATGAGAGCGGAGGGGTAAGGGAGTCGACGAGCTGCGAGAGGGCGTCGTCGATGCGCCGCGGGCGCGCGGGTTGGCGGGTGGACATGCTTTTGGGGGAATCTGGTTATAGCTCGACTGTAGGGCTCTCGTGTATTGTATAACGTCCTTTCTTTTTATTCTCTGGATTCCAAGTATGCTTGTGTAATTCACAACTTGAGGCCCCTCAAGAGGCAATGGGGTATAGGCCGGCTGGCGCAGAATACCGCCTTTCGAGGTTAGACGCGGCGAGAAGTTAATGGTCGAACACAAGTGGATAGCCTGCCAATTCGCTGGAGTCGCGGAGTCTAGGGCATGGTGTCCCGCACCAGTCAGAGGAAGACCTGGGAGTAGTAGCTATGGCATATAGACTTGACGTGTTTAGGTATCAATTGCGTCGGAGCCCATCGCCGAAGGACTGGTAGACCCGCGTATGGGATGAATGTTGTTGTCTTGTTTGACCGGTTTGTATGGTTTGAACTCAAATCCACCGCGTCCTGCCAAGCACGCCGTTACTGATCACGATTGCAGACCGTCGATCTATCTACGAAATACAGTCTGTATTACACATATTCTTACAAGTGTCGCAGGTTTTGATTGAAGAATCAGTTGGAATTCAAGCTCAGCAAATTCCCTAGACGCTTAATGGCATCTAGTATGAAAGCAAACGATAGCAAGAAGCCTCCAGTACGCCACCCAGTACCGTGTTTCGCAGCAACAAAATGATAGAGAAGGCAAACACCCAGTGGCCCGCAAGTATCAGACAGACGAAGAGAAGCCCTCACAGCAAAGGGGATAGCAGTGTAAAAAGAGAAAGCAAAAGATAAATGAGTACACAATACACCACCCTAGCCTGCAAGTACCGATGCCAGACAGGACGAGGGCTCTTGAGGGTCGAAGCGAAAAAAAAAAGAGAGAGAACAAGTGATAAAAAGAAATTGAAAGCAGCCAAGCTTTTGCGCCAAGTTTGCACCTTCTGGTGATCAAGTGATGCCCAATCCACTTCAAATTCAGCCGTCCGTTTTAGAAATCGTATACATCATAACACCTATCCATGCCGGTGGCGCGTAGCCAAATAATAAGAGCAAGAGGTAGCAGGCAGACAAGGCGCCACACATCCTCACGTTGACGCCTGCACTCCTGAAGCAAGAAAAAGAATTAAAAGAAAACCGGCCGTTCTTCAACCGCATATAACGGAACACGACCAATCATGTATTATCGTGGCCTCGCATGGGGACTCATTACCGTCGTAGCCCCTGAGCAGGGATAGGTGCTCCAGGTTGCATTGCCATACCGTTAGGGATGTTGTATGGATGCGCATCAAATCCTGCCGACATGCCATTCATCATGAGAGGGCCTAAACCTTGGGCCTGGGAGACTGGGCAGTCCTTATGCGCAAGCAACAAAGTCTTGAGATTGACGATTTCCTCACGGAGCTGCGTGACAGTGGCAGTAAGCGCATCATTCTCGGAGGTGAACAATTCCACCTTCGCTTGAAGGTTGGCAAGCCACTGCTTCTTTCGCTGGCGACACTTGAGCGCCGCAACCCTACAAAGAACGTTAGCACCAAGCCAATAACTTGAGCGCGCCAAATGGTAAAAAGCGCTTCTTACCTGTTCCTCTCGAGAAAGTTCTTTCTCTTCTCTTCATCAGTCATTTTCTTCGTGTCTGTCGAGTTCTTTCTCTTCATATCATCTTCATCGTCTTCGGAATCCCCAACATCGGAAGGAGGCTCAACACTACCAGACCCGTTACTCGTTTTGGCCTTCTTGTTTGAACCCTTCGGTGCATCTTCTGCTTTGCGCCTGTTGTTTGCCGCGGTGCTGGCTTTTGTGCCAGTGTTCTTCTTGGCTTTGCCCTTGGCAGCGGGCTTCGTCTGCTCACCCTGCATGTCAGAGGCGTCACCGCTGGTCTCTCTGCCTGATACACCATTCATGTTTTGCGAGTTACGTCTATCGGCGCCAGCATCAAGTTGCTGGTCATTGGCCTGAATACTTTGTGGCTGAATCGATGCTTGGTTCGATACAGTGAACTGATTGGGGTTCGCCTGTCCGCCCTTGGCCAGCATGAAAAGCCCGTTAGCCGCATCAGCAGCGTCATGATGACCAAATGGGTCGGAACCGGCAGGCGGGTTCGGCTTAATATCCATATTGGAGTTTTGCGTCGCTGGATCAGGTTCGGAAGTGGGGTTAGAGGTTGGGCCACCTAAGCTGTTCTTCTTGGCAGCGTTAAGGGCAGTACGGTGGAACTCAATGGTCGACGGTGTCGCACCACCACTCTGCAGCTGCTGCAGAAGTGCCTGAGAGTTGGGGCTAGGAGCAGGAAACATAGAACCCCCTCCGCCCGGGGTCAATCCAGTGCGGAGAGAAGACTCGTTAGGGGTAGGGAAGCCCCTGCCAATACTGTCAAAATAATCGCTCGTGCCAGTCGGGCCGGCGAGCATAGCAGGACTCAGCGGCCCGGAGCGCAGAGAGTTGGACCAGCCGTAGCCGCCACCGGCAGAGCTTGTGCCCGGCAGGGCAGGAGAAGTAAGTGCTGCAACAGGAGGAAGGATCGACTTTCCGGGTGTTTCGCCCGAGGAACCACCACTGCCGAAAGATTGCTCGAAGGGATTGGGTTCCAGAGAGAAAGGGTTGTGGACGGAGTTGAAGTAATCGGGGGTATCAGTCGCGCTTGTTATGGCTGGTCGCGGAGGCGGCGCCAACGAGGTTTGAGGATCTACATCAGGCTTGGTATCTTTAAGATCCGAAGAGGTCGCCCGGGAGTCTGTATCCGGAGCAAATGTGCGCGTTAGTATGACAACACCGACAACGACAATAGCAATGACGATGATGAAGTACGCGACAGTGAGGTTATCTGAAACAGGGGTAGAATGAAAGAGGTTGGCCAAATGAGGCGGTCCAGGCCGAAGTTTGCGAGGAAGGGGATCTGATAACAGTGACCCCCCATCGATGACGCCAATTGTGAGGTCATCCCGACGGCGGCGGGTAGTCAACAGAACATTTGGGGGAACAGTGGCCTACAACCAAGCCAGAACAGGTCAAGGGTCGATGATGAAGTAAGGAAGTGCAAGATACAGCAGATATTCGGGAGTTTGGGGCATGGGAGGTACCAGAGTTCCACGCGCGCAAAACGAAGGATCGAAACAGTTTTTTTTTTAAAGATGCACAACACTCACCTTCGTCTAGACCCGCCTTTTTCGCATCCATTGGGGTAGAATTACGAGTATCGGTATGATTAGTTAGACTGGTCGAAACGGTCGAAGTAACAGCCGCAGACATAATAGCGAAGAAAGGAGGAGGGGGATAATTGTTGGTGGTGTCGATATATCAGAGCGAGGGAGGTCGACAGGTGACCCCGGGGATGTAAGGAAAAAAATAGCCAAGCGAGCGGACGGAGGTGGCGAGGACACGAAGAAGAATAAGGACGGGACGGACGCTGAACAAGAAAACAACTGGAGGGGTACGGGAAAGGGAAGCAAGTTAAAAGGAGGCAAAGCTGGTTGATTGAAGTTAGTAAAATGCGACAAGTTGTTGATGCTTCGGGAGCTGGCTATACTGCAGCGCAAACGCCTGTACCCAAAGGTCACTGAGCGAGTACACGGCAGTTCAGAAGTAGATCGTGTTGGAGAGGAAGGGGAAAGGAAAGGAAAAAGTTGTGACGTAGTCCGGGCTTCGACAGGGAGATTATTTAGGGGGAAAAGAAAGAGGGGAGGCGGTCGAGTGGCCGTCGGGCGAGGCTATGCCTATTTGGACTCGACTGTCTGTCACGCCGAAACCATGCAACCCTGAGAGTACAAAAAGCCCGCGGGTTACCAGCCAGAGTGCAAATTCGAAACCACTAACATGGAAATTTTCTTTTCTTTTTCTTTTTGTTTTCCCTTTGGAAGGAATTTTTTTCTTTTTCTTTTTGCTTTTTTCTCCCTTTAAGGGGGGGAGGTTCTCTTCACTCTCTTTTCTTCTTAATTCTTATCTTCGGTTCTGGTTCTGTATTCGGAACCAATCTTGTTCTCGTTGCTCTTTCCTGTTTTAAATTGTATTTTTCTTTTCTCTTCCGTATTTTTTTTTTTCTTTTGCTTCGTCCACCCTATGGATCTTGATTTCAAAGCAGGAATATTGAAACTCCGGAACAAGAATTTCGCAAAAATAAAAATAAAAAATAAATGAACAAAGGGTAGGCGAGAGAGAAAAAAACACCGAGAACTAAAACAGAAATCGAAGGAACACCTTACCCTATAGTAAATGACCAGGCACTGTATGATTATGCAGGCGAAATGCTGGCTGGCCCTTACTTGCAAAAACGAAACTTGGAGACGGAGTGGATTCCCGGCAGTACTTGTCAGCCAATCCAGGGAAGGGAAATCCCGGGTGGACGCGATTGTTGGATGACGGCGGAAACGATAGGCAAATTCAACCTAATAAGAAAGTGGTAGTGAAGTAGTATGACACACTTCCGTGTCCCGAGGAAGAAAATTGCAAAGGTATAAGAATGTTGGTCGCTATCCAGGGATGTGTGGAAAGTACACGAAGATTTGTCCAAAGTCTAAAGTTTTGGATTCTCGAGGCTTTGTAACCACAAACTGGTCAACAAAATGTCTGGGGACAGAAGAGGGAAAGTTGGTAAGGGCACAGAGTAGGAAGGGGTAAAAAAACCATGGATGAGATCACGGTGACGACGACAGGAATTTTCCTGGGCTTGTCGGACAGTCGGACCAGCCGGCAGTGGCCACTCGCGCACCTCAACACTAACGTACCAGCGCATCCACTTGGTCCAGCCACTCACGGGCCTGTTTCCGAGCCCCCGCCCTGCAGAGTCTCAATCTCGAGCGGGTGAACGAATCATGGAGACGACGCCATGTTTGTCCGGCCGCAGGGCGGTGAGGGATCTTCGTCTGTTCGAATGGTCGATGCCACTTCCATCCCATCGATACCCTCCCTGAATGGCCCATTGACCAACGCCCAAATCTGGAGATACATAGATTTCGGGTCCAACAAGGAAATCCTTCCAATCCTCGGCTCCCTTATCGCCGTTGCCCGGATTCTAGGTTCTAGGTTCTTTCTCATTTCAGGGGGGGGTGGTTGGAAGGGAGTAGTGTTGTTCAGTCTCGCTCGGGACATCGAGTGACACGTCCGCTTGCTGATTGGATCCCTACTGATGACGCAATGTTTCTAGGGCCTTCGTCCCGTGGGTATCCATCACGTGAGGGTGTCTCGCGCGGTCTTGTTGGGGCCCAAAACAAGGATGAAGGAATCTAGTGGATTGCCACTTGGATTCTGGACAATCTATTCCATTGCTCCCCGTGTGGTACTGTGTACAGGCTACACGGTTGAAGGTGGACCGAACAAGAAGGTTCGGAGTAGAATATACGCCCCCTCCACATTAATTAGTATTGAGAGCCCCCCTCCAAACTGTCAGTTCGCGTCTCGTTTAGGCCTTGGCAGTGGTACTGCGTTCCCCAGACAGTACATGATAGTGTTACAGGTCAATAGGTTCGTTACCAGTCCTATCAAATCACGCCGTCGATATCGATATTGAAAAGACTCTAGTATTCACTGTAGCTCCAGAAATGGTATAATTGCTTGTTTTCGCCTTGCATTATTGCTAAAAGGTCTCCTGCACATAAGTATGCACATGTACCCTCGAAGAATCACTCACTGTCTGTATGTGATGTACCCGGTACTTCACAACCTTCGAAGGTGCATGAATAAAACCCCTGCCGCTCAACGGTACTTTGTGATAAAGGAGGGTAAGTCATAATTCTAGTATTTAGGCCCAACGGCTCCAATGCTATGTATTTCGGTGGGTGCGCTTCCTTTTCAGCTGCATGATCCAAAATGTATTAGTCCAGTTTTAAGGAACATCTCATAGATTAATTGCTTTAGCCGAAGTGACAACAAATCGATTCCTCCTCCCCCTCCCCCCTTCCGTAAGTCCCCCTCAGCACAGCGAAATGTGTTGACTTGTCCGGGGTCTGTCTGTCGCTCAATGCGCTAGTCGATACACATAACACATAAGTACTGATTCCACCATAATTTAGCCTTTTTAGCCCATGCAGCCACCAAAATCAGCGGTTGACATGCAAGCCTTTCCGAGGATTTTGATCGAAAAGTCTAGATCGCGGACTGCTGGCGTTGGTATTTACTGTTCCAGTTATAGTTATATCGAAGCCATGATAAATGTGTGTGTTCTTAGCAAATGAGGTTGGCTAGATTTGCTTTTGTTCTGCTGTGTTTTAGAGGACATGGCATGTCATCGCTCGCACAGACAGGAAATTGATACGTACTTTGGAAGGTGGAATGGCGCCATAATTCTTGTTTCCGGCTTCGATTTACCTCTAGTGAGATTCTAGGGGTAACAACTAACATCCCCGATTAAGCTCGTGAATCCATCATCAATGGTATGTAACAAACTATTGAGCCGTACATGGAATGGTCTCAGCTTTTCTCCAGATACGTCATAAGTATGGGGATGCATGGGGCACTCTCCACGATAAAATAGTTAACTAAAGTAAATTTAATAATAGCCAGCAGCGATAAGATTAAGGTCCTATCCTATCCTATCCGTACAACAATCTCCCCTCGCCCCCTTGTCTACATGAACTAAATTGAGACATCCTTTCGTCATGAGCCGCGATACGTCGAATAGTTCCAGGGTCCCAACAGCACGGGAACGTGATAATGCCGCCATCCTTCTTCTCCCTCCCGGCCCCGTCCCTTGACCGTAAACTTCACCTCGACCTCGGGCCAGAAACTCTCAACTCCTTGTGCCTCGTACCATGGACCGACTTCAAATCGAACGGACCAATTTGTCTTGCTATCGGCGGTTGGGAGTGCAGAAAGAATAGCGGGGACCGATGAAGCTGACGATGAAGTTGCGGTGGGCTCCCAGTTTTTGACTCGTCCGTCTGCGTCGGTCGTCGCGCGGAAACTGATGGGACTCTGGCTGCTGCTGGAGGGCCCAGATAGGAGGGTCAGTGTCACTGGGAGGTTCGCCGCGGGAGTACCCGTTAGGGTGTTAAGGACGTGACAGGTTATGGGGTCGCGAGACATTGCGGTGGTATTTTGGTTGAGGGTCGATGCTGGGTTGTAGTTGTGGAAGGGTTGTGCTGTAGAGTGGATCGGGGATTGGGAGAGTTGGTTGCAGTAGAGGCTAAGACGGTCTGTGATTTTATCCAGTTGACCACTTGACGGCTTGATCTCCGATCTAGGGTCCATCAAGAGAGAGTAAGTGGATGATGGGAAATTATTTCAGGTATTGAGAGAAAAGTAGAAATTGTCTCGAGAGTGTTCAGCGTGCGAGGGGCTTTTTCTATCTCCGCTTCTCATGCATCGGAGAGCACCGACAGAGCTACCTTGGGATGCCGGAGTATACCATCGGTGGGGTAATTCGGGGGTGGTCCCAAAGCTCGTAGCACTACAGCAGCTCGAATCTGTCTAGTGCCCCTGAAACTTAAGAGTTGCAAACCCACAAGCCGATCAATTTTGACATGAGTGTGTGCAACCCCGTCTTGGGATGCTACGATACCAAGTAGTAGCGATTGGGGTTCGTGGTGCCCGCCGATCTGACTAACCTAGACTTCTGTAACGCAAGACCGGGCTTTTATCATGCGGGAACAAGCCAAAATCTTTTTGAGTGGAGATGTCTCATTATTTCTTCTTGTACATGTCAGATTGCTGCAATGGTGTAGTGTCATAGAATCGTGAGCTGCTCTTCAATGCACGTAAACACAGACTGAAGCTAGCTTGAAGGCCCGATAACTGACTGAATTCGATTAGTAGAAATGGGTGCTGGTCGCAAATCGAACAGTCTCACAATGGAGTCTGTGAATTAGCGACTCAACCTCTTAGGTGGACAAAGAACAGCCTGACTTTTTCAGATCCATATAGATAACAAGCCAAGAAATTATCTCAGAGGAATGAAGCATTATGTCACTTTGTTTGACGGGTGGGGTCGCCTCAGGCAGAGAATGATGGCATCCGCACGTGCGTGTTGCACCGGCTCGAATGGAAACGCTTTTCTTTGGCGCTGCACATGATTCACTAGGTTGATCGTACCTGAACCCCCAGCACCTTGCGATCGTGCCCCTTTGGACCTAAGTAGGCCTGTTTCAAGCCAGTGTTCGGGTGACTCTTATCTTACCGAGAACGTTCTCGAACTTGTCTAACCGCCACTACTGAAAGTTTTGGCCTCTGCGGGGAACCGATACGTGGTAAGTCCAAGCTTCAATATCGCGACACAGCCTCTTTAACACGGAAGCTCACTCAATCGCGCCCTCTTCAGAAAAAATATCGAAACCCATATCAATACCAACGAATTTCAACATGTCATCCGCCGTTGTGCACAGCGACGACCTCATGGAGCCCACGCTCCAGTCGGTGGTGAACCAAAAGACCTTGCGTTGGATCTTTGTTGGCGGCAAAGGAGGTGTCGGCAAGACTACGACTTCCTGCTCTCTTGCAATTCAGCTTGCCAAAGTTCGCAAATCCGTCCTTCTCATCTCCACCGATCCCGCACACAACCTTAGCGATGCTTTCGGTCAGAAGTTTGGAAAGGAGGCCCGACTGGTCGATGGATACACGAACCTGAGCGCTATGGAGATCGACCCTAACGGAAGTATTCAAGATCTCCTGGCTAGTGGTGAAGGCCAAGGCGACGACCCTCTGTCTGGTATGGGCGTTGGTGGAATGATGCAGGACCTTGCGTTCAGTGTACGTCACGCACCGGAGCTGACCAGCAGAAAATCATTGCTCTCGTGGAAAATAGCTAATTGTAGCAGATCCCCGGTGTTGATGAAGCTATGTCCTTTGCCGAAGTCCTGAAGCAGGTCAAGTCGCTGTCCTACGAAGTTATTGTGTTTGACACTGCGCCGACCGGTCACACTCTCCGCTTCCTCCAATTCCCCACTGTCTTAGAGAAGGCTCTCGCCAAGCTGTCGCAGCTGTCGTCTCAGTTCGGTCCCATGCTGAACTCGATCCTTGGTTCCCGTGGTGGTCTGCCTGGCGGTCAAAACATTGATGAATTGTTGCAGAAGATGGAGTCGCTGAGGGAGACAATCAGCGAGGTTAACTCGCAGTTCAAGGACGCCGATCTGACTACCTTCGTCTGTGTCTGCATTGCGGAATTCCTGTCCCTCTACGAAACCGAGCGCATGATCCAGGAGCTCACAAGCTATAACATCGATACCCATGCCATTGTGGTCAACCAGCTCCTGTTCCCCAAGCAAAGCAGCGAGTGCGAGCAATGTAATGCACGGAGGAAGATGCAGAAGAAGTACTTGGAGCAGATTGAAGAGTTATATGAAGACTTCAACGTGGTTAGAATGCCATTGCTGGTTGAGGAAGTTAGAGGCAAGGAGAAGCTTGAGAAGTAAGTCGACGCCTAGATAACCAGTTGTGAGAGAAGCATCACGTTGGCTAACCTGCCCACAGATTCAGCGACATGCTTGTGAACCCGTATGTTCCCCCGGAGGGCAACTGAGGCGGATTAGCGGAGAAATTTCAATCAATCTAAGATTTGCGGCGAATGTTGTTTATTTGGACGAGTCATGAAAAGAGTATAGACTATAATATACGAAGCGTGAAGATGCATTCCTTGGAATATTGTGAATCTAGTTGTTACCCTGATCCGTGTGGAGTGAGTTTGATTAGCTCAATGCTCCTCTTCCGGTGCTTGCCATTCCATCACACCTGACTTCCCTGCTCGCATGCTCCGAACGCCTCACTGTTGCCTTGTCGAGGTTCCCACTAGCGACTTCTGCAGATCTTCAGGGATGAGATTGTGACTCGGACTAGATCACCTGTGGGTCTTCCGCCTCAGAGCAGGGACTCTGTCAAGCAATCACCTTCTCCTAGTCCAATTGGCAGCTTGATTTCTCGATCCTCAATCGCCTCAAATTCTTTCCTCCTGCCCCGTTGTAGCCTCAATATAGCAGCTTCTGCCTTGGTCACAACCCGCTATAAGCGATCCGGGTGTAAGTTAGAGAGTTTTCCCTGTTGCATTCATCAACATTCCTTGATCCAGGAAGTTCTAACTCTTATCGCTTCAGCCTCACCTTCAGTCCCCCTTGCCGAATACAACTTGCAGTCACTATAAGGGTGCAAAATAAAAGCAATGATCTGAGACAGGGATAAAGCTGCCCAGCTCGTGGATGATGCGACATCATTAGAAAAAGCATGACCTTCCTGTCCACAGACAAACAACTGGGGAGGGATGGAGGTATCTGCGCTTCGAATATTTAAGGCTTGGTGAGTGAGGTGAAGCCTCACCTCCAGCTGACAGTTCAGATGAAGACCAATCAGTTTGCCATATTGCCTCGCTTTTTTTGATACCGGGTCAATTTATGGCTAGATGAATCCAGCCTCATATGACGCTATGAGCTATACCAGGTGTACCATGTCTGCAATATCCTGGCTGCAATAACAGTGGCTGTCACTATCCCGGGACCTGGAAGCTTTGATTGGTGACTGAAAAGAGGAAACATGGCGTGAAGCCCTGTCAAGGAGACAATGGCCTGTTCAGGCCGGCTCATGCAAGTATGGCTGACTACCAAATCAGATTCGCTCAAGCCCTGATGCAAGTGACCCCTAGTTAAGGCTAAAGGCGAAAGATATCGCAGCAAAAGATTGACTATACAGGAAGGGGACAATGGATTCCCAGGTTTAGTTCCCTGTAGGAACGTGTCACTGCCCATTCTGTCTTCAGCGATCGTCAGATATAGCTTGGCCTAGCAAGGACAGCATCAATGGTCTGAGGTGAATCCTGATGAACCAAATTCTGTGCTACGACATATCGTGGGTACAGGCTACAGGGTCAATCCTGCCACGAAGGTCAACTGTTCTTCTCTAATTGATGCATCTCTTGTCTAGACCTCGAATTCTGCGACATTCGGTGAAAACTATGCTGTATCCACCGATATACAGATAACACCTACCACAGCCCGATAAACTTTGAGCAGGGCGATTACAGGTCAGATTAAGGACCCCGGAAATCAAAACAAGATGCAATCGGGCCGAATACTATGACTCAAGCTGCCGTTGAGAGCCGCGAGCACAAACAGTCCGGTCGGCTAAGTGGGATTCAATATGGCATGGCCTCATAGATCTGCGAACAACCCGGTCTGTATTAATGGCTCCAGGCTCATGCAGGTGTCACCGGCTATGAGGACGTCTGGACTCGAGACGCAAGAAATTCCGAAATGTACGAAACCATTTTGGGGCTGCAAGATCTAGGGGAGTCGCCAATAAACTTCGAGCAAGCATACTAGCTGCATCCGAAACGCTCGGTCCATGGAGCCACGGCATCACACATACAGACTCTACTACATACCTACATCGCCGACCACTTCAGTGGTGCATGTTCACCGCAGAAATAGCCAAGCCGTCGAAAGACAGAGGCACGCGAGAGGTGGGCACAATATCCTTCGATTTGCGGAAATTGTCAGTCTTCCCTTGGGGGCCCAAGCCTCACTTTTACCGGCGCAAAGGGGTTGGATGAAAGAGTGAGGCGAGTTTTCCCCGGAATCGGACGTGAGCAGCAGGCCTTGCAGCCGTTCCATTTTGCTCGCAAAAGAGTCTATGTAAAAAGCCACATTCGCAAAGGCGCACTCTTGACTGGAAGAAAATTCGCTGAGCCGATGACGGGCGTGCTGATCCGCTCCTTATGATGGAGCCCACTATGTACGGTCACATTGCCCTAGGGCATCCCGACACCTTTTGAGAGACATATCCACATCGAACCCACCGAGGCGTGACGAATAAATCTTATGTCCGCTTGTTATCTTCTTCCTTTTTCCTTGCATGACCACAAACCCGAATCTAGCTATATATAAGGGGCCCCTAGAAGAGAGTTCCAGTTCCAATCAAATGGTCGTCATGATCGAGAGTAGCCCACTTCATTCAGTTCTGATAGTACTATACAACACAGCGCTACATCGTATCACTCACAATCACCACTACTTCTCCCACACTACTATCCCAAACTTAACTGATCTTACTACTACTACTACTTCACGGATATGTCTCAGGTCCAGCAATACTGGCTCCCAGGATACGGACTGTCACGTCACATAGTCTTAGGCCACATCCAATACTTTCTAGGGCCATCAGCCAGTGTCAGACCATATTCATACCAGGTAGACAGACCAATATACCAAACCAACCAGGAACAACATGCACAAGACACCTAGAACTTTGAAACCACACACACTCTCTAACACATAATCTGGCCTTCTCCCAGGGACGCGACGGCTACCTAATAGTCGGTGTACCACTTACTCGAGTCCGTTGCAAACCCTCCAATCTCTTTTGCCCCCATTCACCCCCACAACTAATATAGATTGATAGGAACAAATCGACGACCTAGCAACCATGTCCCGAGAATACGAGCGTCAAGAATCCCTCCGAATGGCTGGTGACTCAGCCAGCCCCGCCTCCTCTTTCGGCAGACACGAACCCTATATCAATGAGATCGTACCCGTGAGGAATTCAGTGAGAAGTCGCAGGGCACCACCCCCACCACAATCGTCATCACAGATGATGGATTATGAACCGAGACGCAGTCGATGAGTGGTTTTGAATTTGAAGAATGGAGAGGCAGGTGCAAAGGAAGAAAAATAGGTGGAGAGAAGAGAGGAAGGAGGTCGTCTCATTCAACATCAACATAATGCTTGCTCTTGGTTTTTTTGATAGCGGGGATGGTTTGATTCAGTTCAGTTCTACAGATACCTTTTGTTACTATATAGGATTGCTACTAATTGTCTGGGATCCCGAGGAGGGTGGATTGGTCTGGGATACTAGTATACTCTACGGATCGGCACTATAATGAAAACACCATAATGCCAAGCCGAACTGAGAATTGAGTGAGTTAATGATAATTGAATTCCATCATCTCTATAGATCAATCGTAACAGCATAGCTCGATCACACGTAACCAAGCGACGGCGTCTTATCGGACGAGAAAACACAACCCCAGTAAACAGAAGTGTGCAAAGGACTGCTCTCACTTTTTAAAGGAAACACCCCCGGGTCCTGTTTCTGGCCTTCATTCCTTCCTTCCTTCCTGCCTTCCTTTTCTCCTTTCATCCTCTGGTCAACCCAAAAATAAAAGTCCAGATATAGTTGGATAGAATTTTTGACGGTACTTCGTTCTTTTTTTTTAAAGGGAGTCATCACACACCAAAATCCCGAAGGGTGTCAAACATCATAAAGAGATACACAGGGGGGGAAATAAACGATATAGTGGGTGGAAATTGGGACACGAAACGTAAATAGAAAAGGGAAAATAAGATAGAGAGATAAAAAAAGAAAAAAGGAATAGTGGACCACCTGAACGCCAGCCTGATGCCACTCTGCTTGGTCCCATCATTTCAGGAAGTCCGCACTGCGGCGGAAGATACTACTAACATAACAGAACCATGAAGAGAACGGTAAAAGGACGAAGATTTCTTGTTTCGGTATAAGTTTCAAGAAGTGGGGGGTGTCATTTATTTCGCAACGGCAGCACTGGATCATTTTGGCGTTAGTAACAAAGGATGGAGATGGATTGATAGGATAGGGTATTGGACGAACCTCAGAACTTGCGTGCGGAAGAAAGCACCTTTGGTCTTCTCAATGACCTGCTGGTACACCGACTGCGGGGGGTGGTTCATGATCACAGTGCCCTCCTTGTAGTCAATCTTGGCGTCGACACGAGTGTCACGGATCAGGTTGACGATCCACTTCTCACCCTCATCCTGGTTCAGACCCAGACGGGTAGACAGGTCCCTGGTGTGATCGGTTAGCAAGATAATGCGTGAATGAATGTTCTTCGTGTTGATTGACATACTTGATGTCGATCCGCTGGTGGATCTTGCAGTAGCTCTCGGAGATCAGGTGACGGGCAGCCTCAACGAAGGCATCGGCAGCCGAAACGAGGAAGAAGTCGCTCCGCAACACATCCTCGGCCTCACCCAACTTCTTCTGGGCCTCCTCAAAGTCGAAGTCAACGTACAGCGCCTTAACGAAGTCGGTGATGGGGTCGGAGTATTCGTAGCCCTCCTGGCGAACGACGCGGATCAGGTCCTTCAACTGCTTCTGGTAGACGTTGCTGTTCTTGTGGGCACGGTTGCGGTTGGTGATGACGGCGGCGGCGAGGTAGCGCAGGATCCAGGGGCAGCTAGTCTGGATGGTGTTGATGTAGGCGGGGGAGAAGAAAAGGTCGGTCAGGACATCGCGAGCAGGGTCGTAGTTGAAGAAGGGGAAGAGAGACCAGTGGATCAACCAGGAGCGGTTCTGGAGCTGACCCAGAGGGTTGTTGAAGAGACGGGTCTCGATCGAGTCCTTGACCTTCTGGACTTCCTCCATAGCACCATCCCAGCTGGTGGTCAGAATCTCCGAGGCGAGCTTACCCCATGTGGCGGAAGCAACCTTGTCGTTGTCGGTGGAGAGGACACGGAACTGGTACAGCAGCTCAGCGGCATTGCCGTAACTACCGCAGCTGTACTGGAAGCGACCATAGTCGAAAAGGCTGTTGACCATATCGGCGGTGACACCGTGCTCCTCCTCGAGGAACTTCAAGTTGGCGACCTTGTCGCTGCGCAGGTTGCCGACGACATCCTCATCCTGCAGCAGCTCGGTGATCTTGGCGCTCTGCTCCTGGTAGTGTTGCAACTTGGCGAGGACCTCCTCTCTCTTCTTGACGAACTCGTCGGGGATGGTGTCGGAGTCGTTAATTTCCTTCCACAGGTTGGCCACATAGTCGGTCATGTTGGTGTGCTTCAACAGCTCGTACTTGGCGCGGATCATCTCCTTGTCATCTTCCTGGGAGCCGGAGCTGAACTCGAGAAGAGGGAAGACCAGATGGCGGTCGAGGTAGGGGATCAGCTTGGGCAGCAGGTCATACTGGTTGGCGATCTCTTCAGCGGTCTTGGGCGGGTGGGCGGCAGCACCGCTGAGAAGGGTCTCAGCGGAAGGAGGAACGTTGGCTGCCATGGTGGGAAGAATAGCAGCAGTAGCAGCGGGGAGCGGGATAAATTGGGGGGGTGGTGGAGGAGGAGGGGGGAGGGGGGAAAAGAGGGGAGGAGGAAAAAGGACAAAAACAGAAGAGAGGAAGCGATTCACGAACGGAGAGCCTCTCACAATGGCAGCGGCAGACTTCAAAGTCAGTGTGCGGCGGCTTTTGCGCTGGCGAAAATGTGGGCGAAGGGCTGCTGGGCGCGCTATCCCCTTCCGGGCCTAGCGGAAGGTCTCCGCGCCGAAGCAAGAAATCATCGCTTCATTTCTGCATGTCGTATGTTCGTTCTCTCGCGCTCTCCGGCCCTCGTCTTGTCCTTCTTCCCCCCCCTCTCCCTCTTATAAACTCCCTTCTGGGTTGTTCCTCGATTCCCCGGCTCCTAGGAATCGTTCAGGCTGTTTCCGTTGCCTCCCCCTTTACTTCCCCCTTACCATCCCCGATGGCATCCTTCATGCAGTCTCTGCCGGTCTGCTCGGCCACTCGCAAGCAGTCAACCGCTGTTCCCTTTTATTTGCAAAAAGCTTCACAGTCCAGAGTCTCGTCAGGGACGCGTAGCTCCTTCTCCTCGCTATGTTCTTCCGCTAGATTGACCCCCTCTCGTAAGTCGCGACCCTTTCCGTCCGTTCCACCCACGGCCTATCCCATCGGGATAGTAAGCATGGCTGTTTCTGAGCAGCAAATACCTGGAGGGTAACAAAAAGAATCCGTCGAGCTTTTCCTGACTTGCTCTTAGAACTCGCTTCTCGTCACTCCTCCCAAATCATCTCTCAGCCCCAAGTTGCCGCCCAGCAATGTCGGACTTTCCTCGTTCAACTCAAGCGGCAATCTCAGACTCTTAAGGAAACCCCGGTATCGCAACCGCCGCCCAACCTGCAACTCACAAACCTCCCTTATTTCATCCGTCGCACAGCCTCCAACCAACTCCCCGTATATCTCGTTACCAAGGCCGGCGGTACCAAGCAACAAACCAAGCTCCAGAAAACTGAAGGCGATTTGGATGCCCTGAGGAACGATCTGGCGCAGTACCTGGGACTGGAGTCGGGTGACCCCCGCGCTCCCAAGAGCCCGGATGTCACTATTAACCGTCTTAACGGTCACATCATTGTCAAGGTACGTCCTCTACGATCTGCCAGTTGATCACGGCCGAGCTAACCGGATTGCTTTACTTAGGGCTGGCGCAAATCTGAGATCCTGAAGTTCCTCCAGGAACGCAACTTTTAAGCAAGAACGACATGAGATGAAAAAGGATTCATCTCTGGATCCCCTTCCGCTCCTCTTCTACCCTCAATCCTACGTCGGCACCAACTCATTGAATTCGACGGTACTGCCACATACACACGCTTGTCTATTGTCACGCCTATCACAGGGGGCGATGGGGATCCAGGGACAGAATGAAACCACACACTGCAGACTTGGTAACAAGAAGACAAAAAAGGGCCAAACCAGAACGACGGGATGAAAAGAAAATAAGCAGCGCATATCTGCGATGGTCAGGGATGATCGATATACTTGGTTATAATGTTTCCCGGCCCCATTTTCCTCTTTTTCTTCTCAAGTTTCCCTCTACTTACTTTATTCCTCACCTTTGTATTATCTTTCTCTCCTACTAGTGCTGGTGTTCCTGTGACAACTCCCTTTCTTTCGCGGAGATTTTGTTTTTCTGGCTGTTGTATGTATGTATACTGGCGTGATCTCTACCTTTTATTTCGCTTTTCTTTCATCTCTCTCAAGTCTACGGCGAACTGCTGCGGGTTCGGTACATGATTACTATCTATTTATCTGAAAGTGGTCTCATCTCCTCCACCCTGCCGCTATCTACTAGCGTGTAGTAGTAGTATCAATCGATCTAACGTCTTCCATTACTTTACTCCAGCGATCTTCTTTCTCTTTGGGAAATTAGTAACTTTAACAACAGCTGTTCTTCTGATCATACCACATGTCATATTACAATCACACTACACGTCATACGATTACTGGGATGTCCTGGCATCATACCAGAGCTTACCGCCAACTACTAGTCTATAGACTGTTCCCAATTCGGAAAGAAACGCTCAGACCAGTAATGGTATCAGCATCAATCGGGATAAGACCAGTTCAGTCGATGAGCCATGATAAAGTAGAGTTACCCATTTAGACATCATGCATGATTTTTTTTTTGTCGCCCGAGGGTATTGAACATTGTACAGCGGTAAAGCACAGAGATACACATTGTCACGCCTCTCTCGATAAAAGAAAAAAGGTTCTTCCCACCGGCGCCAAACACACGAGATCGAGTAAGAGAGTCAAAAGAGAAAGAGTAAATGAAAAGAGAACAGAAAGGGAGAAAACGGAGATGTAGATAGTTGTTTACTCAAGGTTGGAAGTAGAAGACATGACAGAAGCAAACATCAACAAGGCATGTTCTAAGCGTGGCCCAAACATGAAACCTTCGGGTTAACCAGCGCGCTAGAAATGATCTCAGAAAAACCCTAACCGTTCCAGAAGTTACCACATTCATTCCGCTAGTCGTGCATAAGTTATCAATTGCCGTACAACACCAGGGTCTATGCTAGGCATCAGCAGTGCGCCAAGCAAGCTTTCTTTCCTTGGGATGATCCCCGAGGGGAACCGTAACGTGGCGTTGGAATCAGCAAGCTTCGACTTCTCGGCCAATCGACGCAGAATCGCCAAACCCCGATTGATTATGGAGCTGTAAGCAGCAGCTTCCGCTTCCGCTTGGCCTCTTGCGGCATGGGATTGGCGTGAGTTGGTGTTCGGTGGAGGAACGCGTTCCGTGCTCAGGAGGCATGAGAGTCGCAGGAGATGGATGGCAAACCCGTCGATCGACTCCAGCCATGACTTGGCAATAGGCCCATCCGCAAAACCTGAAAGGATATCCGCTGCCAAAAGGCCTTGCATGAGGAAAACCTTCCGAGCATCCGCTATAGCCAAGGGTTTCCGCGGCTGATCAGGGACCGGGCAAATGGCAAGACCAAAGGCACGAGTCAGCAACTCTTGCTGGATGGAAACGCCATCGCCAGAGAAGATTGCTCTGAAGAATGTCCGGTTGGGCTCGTCCCGTGCCAGAAGCTTGGCCAAGCTATCAACCGCTGCCGGTGTGTACTTGTGAACTGAGGGGTTGTATGAATTGAACATAATACCCTCCGAGCCCATAGGTCCTGGGAATGGTGCAAAAGCAAGAAGGAAATGCAGAAGACAGAGGGCTTCTTCTTTACTCGGTAACTGAATGGTGTGAGCCACGTTGCTGAGGTATGTTACTGTGTCCTTCATGAAATCCAATGTGTTCTGATGTGTCCTTAGAAGCATATTGCGTGTGCCGAGGTAACGAATGATAGTCGACATGAATTGAACAACCGGGGGCGTAGACAGCATTCCAAAGTTTGACTCGATAAACGAGAAATTGCGTAGTATGGTTGTAATGCAGATGAGTCGGTCGACGGCACGGTCTAGTTCGTAGTCGAGGCTGCCGAATTCTGGAACATCCGCCAAAGACGTCCATTCCGATTGACATCCACGAGTGACTTCTTCATATGAGGATAGAAGCATCATATCAGACACTTCTGCGGCATGTTCCGCAAGAAACTCTGCTTGGTCCTCGGCGCATTCGATCAAGCTCTCCACCAGATCGTCGCAGTTATCTAACGATATTTGGATCGCCGGCTCTGAGGATATGGATGTAAGCGTATCCAAGGCCATGCGCATTTCAGCATGTATCCCGGATTTGATGCTCATTGTGAGAGCGTGGATATCAATTACACCCAGCTCAGCAAAACTGGGAACATTAGGCTTCAAGCGAGTAATATCCTCCCCAATCTGATACATTTCATCGATGGCTATGGGTCCATGGAAATTGCTTTCTGGCAAGACCATGGGTTTATAGGGATCCTCAATCTGGTGCTTCAAAGGCTGATCTGACTGATCCAGCTGCTCCGAGGGCTTGCCGGGGACTTGACCTGGGCCTTTGTCCGGCTGCGCAGGTGATTGACTCGGCATTTGGCCAGTAGGATCATTGGGCGTTGCTGGAGGCTGTGACTGGCGGGAAATACTGAGACGATGCTGATTCTGCGGCTTGCCCTGGGTTTTAACAGGCGTAGGCGTCGCGAAACCATTCGAAGCGTTATGTTGTACGCTACTTGATACAGACGCGGGGCTTGGCGATGGGTGTCCCATCTGCTGTGCATTTTCGAAACCCTGGCCCGGTTTGATGGCTGGAGACTGGAACTGCATGGCAGATGGGTCACTGGGTTGACGTGGCACCGCTGTTTGCTGCATTTGGTCCGCAAATTGCTTCTGCTGGGTGCTGAGGAAGGCCTGCTCGTACGCAGCTAGGTTCCGCTGATAATGCTCCCTAAGCTCCTGCATGGCCATCGGCAGCTGCATCGGCGGGAACTGAAGTTGCTGTGCAATGACGTGCCACATATTCGCAGCTGTTATCTTCTTCGATCCTCCGAGCTTCATGACCGTAGCATAAAGCTGGACCAGGTTGATCGGGCGACCGCAAACAACGGGACTAGGATCGAGCGGCAGGTTGCGCGACATCATGAATTTCTGCAGTGACCTCATAAACCCTTCCGGATTAGGCGGTTTAGCCATGGTCTGTTGCATCTGCCTGATGGCGGCCATTTGTTGAGGATTGGCCATCGCGTTCATCCCAGCTGCCACGGGTCGCCCGGCCATGGCGGGATTCATCGCCATTGGACGACCTTGATTTTGCATCTGCATGGCATGCATTCGCTGCTGTTGCTGCTGGGCAGCTATGGCCTGCTGATACCCCTGAGGCATGCCACCGTAATGTGCTTGCATCGGCGCCTGCACAGCGGCAGTAGTCATCGCAGGCGCGGGCGGGAACTGGGGTGCCATGGGCTGAGGGAAAGGTTGATTGGGCATGAATGAGCTATTT